CCTCCACCGTATTTTAACTAAAGGCGTAAGATGCTTCAATTCCCCCTCCGCAGTATTGGGTTTTCGCCACTGTGTTTGCTTTTAATCACTCCCAAAACATTTACTTTAGCCAATAAATATATTCGAATTTCAAAATTTTGAGGCTTTTTAATAATACAGGTCTTAGTAAATTACAGTCATATACAGTGGCTCAAACAATTGAGAATACACCTTACTTTTTAAAATAAATCTAACTTTCAATATAAATAACACATTACCGAGAAGCAGAAACATGTTTTTATTTTTACACATAAGAATTGATTTAATTGACACATAACAATTGATTTAATTTAATTTGAATAGTAAAAATAAAGAACAAACAACGAAAAATCCTAAAATGAAAAAATTCAGAAATATTTTAAATAAGCATATGCAGATTTTTGCCTCAAAAAATTAAGAATACACCAATAAAAATTTTTTAACTACCACCATATTTTTTTACATGGATTCTGTTTTAATCTAATGTTGCATAAATTGTATCTTAAACCTTTTCACTTTTGTAATAAAGTTTGTTATATGAACTTAATATGTCTCCTTGAAGAGAAACCAGTATTGATGTAAGGAAATTCGGTACTATTCGGTTTCGAGGGCCATAAAAAATCACCAAACTATTGTTCATGCCGATGCTGCCAAAAATAATTGAGACAAGAAAGGAAGTATAATAGTAAATAACTATCTAAGATTGATGTTTTAATTTAGAGAAAGGTTAATTTCATATAATACTTTTTTATTATAATTTATATGAAAAAGGCTAAACATGACTGAATGGAAGCATAAAAGTAAATAAATATTTCAGATCATTATTATAATCTATATAAAAATTGCTAAACGTAACTGAATGAATGCCTGCATCGCTATTTCGCTACCGACTTATCGCTAAAGCATAATTTCATCTTGCTGGTTGTTCGAACGTAATTTTCCATAATGAATGATGCCTTTTCTTTGAAAATATTCTCGGTAAAGTGCAGAATCGCTCAATTATTTGTTTGCCGCTTTTTACAATTGGATTTTTATCAATTTTCTTTTACATTTTAAGTGAAAATAGGTCAATGTGTACATAGATAAAATAAAGAGTGTGCGCAGTGCCATTTTTGTGCAATTCTAAAGATTTTTTTTTTTTACGTGAAAATAGGTCGATGTGCACATGGATACCGAGTATGTACAATTCTTAAAAACGCGTCAAGCAGTGGGTGATTCTGCACTTTACCCAAAATTCTTTTGCCGACTTTTCGTCATGGGCAATTCCCAAATTGTTAAATCCATAGGATATCAAAAAAGGATTTAAAAATTAAACTAGTATTTCAATGGCGTCTAAAGAAATATAGAACTATATAAACTTACGCATTCTGAAATCAGCGCGTTCGCTAGATTTAGCCCGCTGTTAAATGAGCGCGTTTGCTAGATTTGGCGCTTTTGCGCATACATTTTCGCCGCAATTTTTTTACGGCCTTCAAAACGGAATAGTACCGGAAATTCATACTAGGATTATATAAAAAAGGAAAATCTTATCGTGATTTAGCTAAAATTGTTGGAAGAAGTCACGCGAGTGTCCAGAAAATCACTGGAAAATTTAAAAATTATGGATTGATTGAAAATAAAAGTGGAAGAGGAAGGAAAGGTATTCTGAGTGATATCGCCCGCCAAAAGATAAATTTTGAAAGACACCAATATTAATACTCTGCAGAAACTCTCAAATCATTGGCAGAAGTGCAAGTGCGGTAACACTGCGAAATATAATTAGACAAGCTGAATATAAAAGCAGGGATGCTAGAAAGGAATCATTCATCAGCTTAAAATTCAGAAAAACCGTCTGGAATTTGCAAAAACGCATCAATTGAAGCTGAATAACTTTTGGAAGTTATATTCACTGATGAAAGTAAATTCAACATTTTCGGCAGTGACGGCTGTCGCATCGTATGGAGAAAGCTCAACACCGCTTTGGATCCAAAAATTTAAGTCCTATTGTTAAATATTTATATTGAAATTTAGATTAATCAAGTAAAAGTTAGGTGCATTTTCAACTATTTGAGCCACTAATATTTCAATTTGCTTTACTGAAAAATGGTTTTCTTCTAGCTATTTGGCCATGAAAGTTGCATTTCCTTAAAATATTTCTAGTAGTTCCTGGATTATTAGATTTGCTAAATTTATTCATTGGAATTTTAAAGTAATCAGTAAGGACGTCACTCGTTTTAAAATTACAAATAATGTTTTTATTGATCCATTTTTCTTCTCGTTCTGTTAATCTCCTTGGGTGGGGTGGTTCGTGATTTGTTTTCAAGCAAATTTGTTTTACAGAATTTCAAAATTAAATTGATAAATTGAATAGGAGATTTTAGTAACAGCAGAATTAGTACCCTTTGGTTCAATACTTTTCGAGAAAATAGACAATTTGAAAATTCTATTAATTTTGCAAACCAGTATATTTTAGAGGAAAACTGAGAATTCAAGTTTGGAAAATTCTTCTTGTTAGAGAAACCGCAGTCTTTCAATATTTTGATTATCAATAACATTTATTATTTCACCAAAATAAAATACTTCTTACATAAAAAATTACTATAAACTGCTTTTCTAAGTTCCTTTGTTTCGTATATGCTCGCCAACAGTCTGACTAAATTGCCGATCCGCTTTACGTGTCTGATTTTCGAAATGAATGGACTGGTGCGTTTCTTTGGAACCTGTGCGAGAGAGCGTTCAAGAGTTTCTTGTTATAACTGGGTCAATATCCACTACTGTGAAAGAACTCTACTAGCGTTGCTTTTTCGCCTAAAGAACATGCTTTCGACTATCTCCACAACTGTTTTTTTAGAGCCACTTTTCCTTTATTTCATTACGGGATTAGGAGAAGCGAATGCTCCTGTCGGATATTGGCCCACCAGCGGCCGAGCGGTAAAGTCGCTGAACACTGGTAGTTCGGTCCGAGGTTCGAATCCCGCGAACGGGCTGGCTGCATTTGTGTTTTCGTTTTTTCCCCATGTGTAACGTGTATACGAGCCAGTTATCCTTAGAAAGTCCTCCACGAAGGCATCTCTCCCCTTAGGCAGATAGCCCTCGAGGCTTTGCCATAATTGAATAACCTAACCTAACCTGTCGGATATTGTTCCGTTCAATACTACTTTTGGAAAGACTCATTTGCTTCTCATAATACGTAATCAGCGTCACTTGTCCTGCAAAATAGCAAATAAATTGCAGTGCTGTTGTAAATAGTATTTTCGAACCACTGTCAGAACGTATATGCTTTTTTTCCCATTACACCTCCTAATGCTTTCACTGATGTATAGTTTAGTTTCATGTCCATTTTCGGCTATCCGAATGCGAGGTAAAATGCTTCTTTCTTGAAAGAATGACATGGTACTTTCCTCACTTCTCGCTAAATAAAAAATTAACATTTCTTGAAAGACAGATATGTTAATTCGTGAACTGTAAAAAAATTATTCTCCCGACGAGCGAACTGTATGATCATTGTTAGAACTGCTGGCCATTTGATGACGGTTTGTGATATACGATGACAATTATTGATAATTTTGGTCCCGTTTAAAAACGGGGTAATTTAAATTTGGTAATAATTAAAGTACCAAACAGGCAATATTTATTTTTCTGCTAAGTAACTACAACAGAATACCACACTATATCAAATCAAGTTAATTACGCATGATTATAAAAATGTGTAAGCAGTTACATATAATTGATATACCGTAATGAATCTCGGAACATTTATTTACATGTTCGTCCATTTTAAGAGTACTGCAAACTCTAGAACCGGCTCAGGGGTCAATTGAATGAATCATAGATGTGCAAATTCTATTACTCGTTCTCTTCGTTGAAGTTTACCAAAATACATAACTTTTCATAAATTTTTCGACATTATTAGACTCTTGTTTAGTCTATATTTTAAAACTTATCCAAATTATCCATCTCGAATTTGTTCTCGTTTTGGTTAGGCTGTCAAAATTACAAAAAGCATTTATCTGTAGAAGGTAAAAAAGAAAAGGTAGAACTTTAAAATGGGTTTAATTGTTATTTAGAAAATGATAAAAAGATTATTGAAATAATCAACAAAATATGCTCTAAAATTCTAGCCTGTTTTTCGAGAAGGAAACGCAAAGAAGGATTTTTTGATTTCGAAACTGTAAACTTTGAAAAAGTTACACAAAATAAGATAAAATACTGCTATTTCGAATTAATAAACAAGGCCTCATTAATAGGCATCTATAGCGGTATTTATAGAACTGCTTAGGTAAGCACTCATGATGAAGTGCTGATGAAAGTTGCTAGATGAAATATCATTAATATTTTTCGGTAAGCAACTAATTGTGTTAATAATCAATTCCACTTCACCCCTGATCTCCAATTAATTCAGCATTCTTTTAGATTTATTATAGGAAGGAATTTAGTGCTTATTCTTCATTCACTTTTCCCAGTAGCAGAACATTACTGCCACATTCAAATAACCTAACTTAACCGACACTAACAGCATAGTAGGCAGGCGTTCTATAAAGTTAGTCAATAGTCCGCGACAAGATTATTTTCGGAGCTAAGGAACAAATTATTCGTGTAACAAGTTAAGATGTTAAATGAAGCGCACTGTAAGAAATAAGGTTGCATCAGGCATATAGCAAACTTATCAACTCTTATCTGTCATATGAAGTGAAATATAAATAAATATGGGCGAAGAACATAGGAAGGAACAAGATTTTTGGAGCATCCTGTAGAATTTTAACAGAACTTTTAGGTAAAAGCAATTTTATTGTGATGGAATTAGATACTACAAAATTTTTGTTCTGAATTTAAAGGTGTTTTATCTGCGAAAGTCAAAATGATGCTTTTATTTTATTTTAAATTAAAATGCATTTTTCTTAATTTGTTTGTCCAATTAGTTAACATGATTTTTAGTTTTTAGTGTAAACTTGTAATTTTATCTTCAGAATCGCACTAATAAATTCTCTTTTTTGCTTATGCAGGTATTTCAGCAACGGAGGAAGAATTGGTTCATGATTCTGGAAATGCCAAGAGCGTTTGTAATTCTCCTTTCTTTGCCAGTAAGATTAAACGTTCAGATCTGTTGGGTGATCGTGAAGCAAAACTTTTATCTGTATCCTCAGATTCCCTTTCCCCCAAACGGATGTCTCGTTGTTATTACGCTATTATTGTATCGATAATTTGCCTTTGCCTGATAGGAGTTATGGGCGTGGTTAGTGGTCTTATTTATTTAAATGTCTTTACTGAAAATGGAAAATGGAATAGTATTTCAACTATGAAGTCATTACTTAGTGGTAGATATCCAGCTTCGAGTGGAGCTCAGCATTTTAAAATGAATAAAGAAACAGATGTTGAACATGGTAGTAAAACTCAAAAAGAAAATCCTAGTCATTTTGAACCTTCTGTAACTCTTAATAAAAGCAATTTGAATAACAAAATTATAGATATTAAATTCGACAACATATCTGTTAATCTATCTGATTCAAGTTCAGTATTTATAGAAACTCCTACCAATGAAATTACATTGCATACTATATTACAAGTGGAGGATACTGCCAAACAATTCCCGAAAATTAGCGTTTTGGAATCGAGTAGGAGAGTGAGAGAGAACGAAAATATCACCAGCAATATATATGGAACAGAAGGGTTTATCAGAAAGGATCATATACTCGTTAGTGATCAAATTATACAAAAACACATATTTAATATTACTTCTCCAAATAAGGCAGTTAAGAATTCCATCCATTCGTCTGATGCAACGATACACTCTGCTGTTAAAGGTATGCTTCAGAATGATAGTGAAGTATTTATGAAAGAAAAACAAGCTGAGAAGAATCAGAAGCACGATTTCGCTCAGTCAGAGTCAGAACAAGCTATTTTACCTACGACTACTTTGAAAGCAAAAGAAATTAAATACGCCACATTGAATAAAGCAAATACACCAGCTACAACGCCTATTATTTCTGCTACAAGCATCAAAGACGAATTGATCGCTGTTGCTCAGTTTTCTAGTCAAAGTATGAATCGAGATAATCTGTCATTAAGCACTTTTAATCTCGATATTCCTAATCTTAGTTCCATGAGTGAACATCGTGAATCTATGTTCAAAAGTGAAGAAAGGCCTAATGCGTTTTTAAAGCAAACTTCAACAACTGTTACCACTCATCTACCCAAAATTCCTATTGATATGAAGTCTTCTTTGGCTGAAGCTTTGAAGCACTTGCAGGTTCTCGATAACAGTAGTAAACTACCTACTTCTCGCAAAAAATCCATTAAATTACCTAAACTGAGCATTAATTCTCCCAGTTCGGAGAATATAAAGAGTAAAGTACAAGTTGTTCCGAAAACTACCTCGTCAACCAACGAGTTTGAGATAACAGCCCAGCTTGAAACTGGAAAGTTTAATTCGATTGTAACACCAGATGGTGTAATAATTCCAATTCCCATTCAGTATATGACTAGCACAAAGTTAGAGGAAAGTCCCACAACTAAGCAGCCTGTGATTACAAGAAGTCAAATGGATATAAAATCCTCCCTTGCCGAAGCTTTAAAACATCTTCGAATGTTACCTAAGGGGAGTAAATTACCATCACCACGTGTGAAATCTGCCAGTCTGCCGAAAGTACCAGTTTTAAGTCCTAGCATAGAAACGTTTCCTGAAGGAAAACGTGCTGCTGCTAATCCTTTAAAGAGTAACAGACTCAGAGCTGAATATGGAAAACCCAATATTAACGGAGTATCCGAATCAGTAACAGAACATTATTCTGGAATATCTTCGCATGCAAATTTTGCTAATAAACTTAAATTAGAACTCGATGAATTGGCTGATGTTCCATCTGGTGTAATATTTAACCAACCTAAGAAACCATTTGGTTTAATATCATCACTAGGTGACGCTTTGAAATATATGCAAAATTTGGATCAGTTGAATAGATTACGTTCAACTCCACGCCAAAAGAAATTTATTAAAACTGAAAAATAATCAGTTAAGAAAAATCTTCGTTATAGAATACATTTAGAACTTTCGTTTATCTGCTTTTTATTCAAAACTTTTTATTCATTTAGTTTTTAAGGCGTTTTAAATCACCAAGACTTTAAATAAATTTATACAGAATTTAACTAAAAATCTTTGTCTTTGAATGTTTTATCACATAAACCAAAGAACATACAGCAGTTTAGGTAAGTGTCACGCGCAATTCAAAATATGTGATTTTTCATTGCAATTCATACAGAAATACTGCATTTTCATATGAAAGACTGTAGCAGAATTTGCTCGCACTTTCGACATCTAAGTTATTTTTCAAATGAGTTACAACTAGTACCTTTTAACGCGTTTTCTCTAATTGTATTTTCTTGAGATGCATTCTTCCCAAACAGTGACACGCAGACCCATCTTAACAGAATAACTCTCCATCTCGACACTTGTAGTGTTGTAGTCTTTGCCGATACAAATAAATCAGAAGTTTCACAATAAGGGCCTCTGCACTTACTGAAACTCAGAACGCTATTCATACGTTGAAAACTGCATCATCAGTGACATCATTGCATGTTTCAAAAGAATTTATCCTTAAATACTTTTAAGGCTAAGGCAGTAATACAAAGGCTGATACAATAAAAAGATTAATGCAAATACGATACATATTAATACAACGACTGATACAATAAAATGATTAATACATATACAATACAGATTAATACAAAGGCTGATAAAAAATTGCTGAGATATGCAGTTATACGCGAAACAATGCCGCATATGGCGTTTCTTCATTTCTTGGTGTAGGAGGCATCACGTTACATCACTGAAGGCCTTTAAGAAAGGGAATAGGAAATATTTAAAAAAGAGGCCATTAGATCAGAAAAATTAAAAAAAAATCTATTTAAGTTTTCTGCGACAAAAAAAAAAGATGACCTGATTTTTCAGCACCGTTAATGTCTGAAGTCTGCTGGTGTATCAAGTTGCGTTTGGATAAGGAGCTACAGTTTTACTGTTTCTGATAGTTTAGGAAATTATTTCCTTGTTGAAACTTATAATCTGACTTTAAAACTTTTAAGTTCCGTCTCAATATACCAAGGCATATTTCCAAATCTGTGATTACGCTGATAAATACAAATTTTCTAATTTTCTTTTAAAAATAGCTGGTACATCAAATATTACTACATGTTTCATTCCTGAGATTGTAATTTTTTTTAATTTAGCATTCAGCTTTTGTTAGAATAACATTTATTAGTTCCGCAAATGAATTAATTTTCATCGACAGAGAGACACATTTTCAAAAATCTTGGTTCATAGTAGAAAAGATTTTAGAAAATAGCATCAATATCCTAATTCTACTGAAATTTACATAATTTATTTTGGTAATGCGATCGTTATATAAAAAAAAAGAGCTTGTCAAAAGATGATTGAAGAAGAGAATAAAAAGAATATTTGTTTAATGAACGTAGTCTCTAGCAGTATCAATGAATTATTGTTAACATAAGCAAAATCATTTATATCATTTTTCTAAAAATAAGTCTCTGGAAATCTTTCTTTGCTCGATAAACTGATGCATAGTTACCAACGTATTTCTTGGACAAAAATAACCCAGATGCTAAAAATAAAATAGTGATATATTGGAAAAATGTCAGAATAGGAAGCATAATGCACAATTTAGTATCAAATTGATCAGCTTTATTAACTAACTTGGCTTGTCTGTGATCACAGCAAGCCCCCAAAATTAGACGTGGCAAGGAGATTGCGCCTGTCTTTGGCAAGAGCCTTGGTCACTGTTAGTTTTCGTCTGCTTGTTGCCGCGTACTGGCCGCAATGGGCTGAGAATACCCGCGGCAACAAGCAGACGAAAACTAAAATAGAGGAGGTAATCAGGCTTTGCTCAGCAAGATACTAAGAAATTCTCCCCCTCTCTTGAGAATTGTATCTTCGCAGCATAATTTTAATAGCAATTCAAAATACTACAACAACTGAATATCAACACTAGGAAAATAGCTCACCCTGTAGAATAATAACAGGACTGTAAGAGCAAAACTATTGTAATGTAAGCATATTACTATCCAGATTGTATGTACTTGATAAAAATAATATTGTAAAGCAGTTTAAATGATATTGAAAATCCAGTCAATGTGTAAATGAATTAAAAGTTTAATTTTGATTATCTCAGTAAAGTATTGTAAATATGAATTCATATAATGTTTAAATGCACACATAGCTGTCATGATTTTATGTATCTATCATATGTAACTTGTACAAGACAATGATTGTAATCAACATATCTATGCTTATACACAGGCCTTGTATGCCCATGTAATATTTATATGTATATTTTTACGCGGAGGAAATTTTCCCTTCTGCCAGGATGACTTAACACTGCATGACTTTTACAACAAAGTCAGGTCAGTGGTTATCTCAGGCGGCGCTCAGTCCTGCCGCAATTTTGAAGGACAGCATCCCAGGGAGGCGGGTCCAAAAGTCTTCCTCTACCACAACTTTTCGAGAGGACTTTTGACTCGCCATATTATAAAATCTAGTCTTCTTTCCTAGCATACACTGTAACTAAATTTATTTAAAAGTTGCGACTTCTTGCGAAGATTCGAAGGCGAATACAACAGGGGAAGGGTCTAAGAGACCCTTTTGTTGAACATACTAGTTCACGAACTTATATGCTTACACATTCACCAACTACTTGTGGTGAGGAACGTAAAAGATAATGTAACAACTAAATTCAAAAGTAAATCATAGTGCAACAAATACAGCGGCAAGTAATAAAATAACTGTTAGAAAAAAATAATAGAATCTTACAACATATTTAGAGTGCCTCTATGACGCTATGCTTTTACAAACATTCATGCTTTTTCCGGGATCCAAACCCCAAGCTTTTCGATAGTCAAAGTCGCTAACCACTATCCCAGTGGGACGGCAATAAGCTGTATGGCTGAATCTGCTTTATGCAGTCGGCCTCATTCTGAAGCAATGTTTCTCCATGTCTGTTCACAAGTCATGGCTGTTTAAGACCCAACTTGTTGTGCATTTGCCACATATCTGTACAATTTTAAGCTGCCTCTGAGGTTTCATCTTCTGTAAAGAATTAGTGTTGAGTAACATAATTGAAAGACCATCATATAATAAACATTATCGAACGCAATGAAACTGGAATCCTTTTTGGAGCATTTTTCCTTCTCAGCCACACCGATGAAAACGTTCACGATTACCACAGAATATCGGCTTCACATCCAGATCACAATTTGTTGTCGATAGTGTTCTTTACTTCTTAAGCACACTGCCGTACGTCGTGCGGTGCTTTATTTGATGAGTTCTTTAGACACCTTTTAGTTCTTTAGCTTCCTTACTTTTCCTATTGCCAAGTGCCATGAAATAGTTGAAAAGTATATATTTGATGTTAGGCGATCCCTCGGGCAATTTGTCATGGATCTGATTCAATTGAATCTTCAAGACTTTCGGAGGAGAAAGGATGATGGTAGGGGGATTCATTTTGTAGTTTCAAATTTCCTAGAGAAAGCTTGTCAACCAACGGCGAGTGGATCTCTCATTAGTTGTTCTTCCAATGAATGATTTATCGATGTTCTTTTACTGCAGTCGCTGCAAAATTTCTCTTTGAACTTGTGAAGTTGTAGCAGTCTTAATTAAAAGGTTTATGTTAACGGACCTAATTATCTCAGTATATCTCTCCTTCTCTTTATCGCTAACTGAACTGAATTCGTTGATTTAAGCTTAGGAACTCTCGTTTGCTTCGCGAATACCGAAGACGAGATTTAATAGGATGTGCTAATTGGTATTTAACATGCAATTTTTTTTGAAGGGATATTCTGAAAATTATTCGCAAAGCCGCAGAGGTTTTTTTGTGGTATACTTTAAAGTTTGTGTAACCATCAGGTTAATGCGTTAATACACCGTTTTTATTTTAAACATTTTCAGTCTAAGTTGTGATATCTTTCTAGAAGGCAATCGGGACAGTAAGGTCATATCTCTTTATGGTTCTAGCAGATTGACATTCTAAAGTACTGAAGAACGAAATAGGCTTATAAATTAATTGAGATCTATGGTTGACTTCGTGCCAGTACTTAGTCAATAGTTAATGTTTGTGGAACGAAATTTGAAGAATGCTGCGTTCGCATCACCCACATATAATGATGTCAAATGGCACAAAAAATTATCTAAATGTCAGAATTTTCTTTTGCTAGTAGAAAGCTTTGGTAATTGAACAGCAACATACCAATACATGATTTTGGTGAGTTTCAATGATTATAGTATACTCATACTGATGTACAAAAGTGGAAGTAATCTGTAGTATTAAAATAAATAACTGTGAAAAAATTACAATAGAAATTTGTTATCAAGATAGAAATTTCATTCAAATAATGAAAGACGGAAATATTTTTCTTTTCTCCTTCCCCATGTGATGTGTTTTCGGTTTTATATCAAATTCAATTATTAATTTTGCAAAGGAATGAAAAGAATTTATATTAGTGAGTATTAGTTATGTGGAAAAGGGCCTTAAACGAAAAATTAATACCAGTGAGAAATAACATAGAAAAGTGTATAAATCTATGTTTCAAAAACCGTCAAATACTTAAAAGCTATCCCTACATCAACCGATGATTTTTCAGTGCGTCAACGTAGCATCTGATACACGATGTACAAGGTTAATCAGTGGAACCATTTTTCGACAGGTTATATTTATAAAACTTAACACTACATATAACCGGCACAGGATCAGCATGATAAAATAGAATTTTTGACAATGATTTAATAATGAGTAAGAGAACTAATGCACATAAAAAATAATAAATCTCTAGTTCTAAGCATATGCGAAGAAATTATGGATCATTTGAAAATATTATCGAAATAATTTGACGGGTATTTTATAGCAGGAAAACTGAAAACATCGAAAAAGCGGATTATAAACCCATACTCTTTCAGTTTCCATAATTATGTCGAATGATGAAAAGCTGAGAGACCTTTTAGAACTGCGCACAAATCGTGTTCTTGAAATACAGTTTAAAAGCAATACTTTGGAACAATATTGGTGCTCGGCAATAAATATGTTCCCAAAACTTAGTGAAAAGGCGCTAAATGTGCTCATCCTATTTTCGCCGACATACTTTTGCAAGTCTAGATTTATTACTCTTTTGTCAATCGAAATAAAATTCAGAAATCACATGGATGCACAAGAAGATATGCAAATTGCTATTAGCAACAGAATACCACGATCTGAAAAACTCTTGTTCAATAAACAGAGATGAATTTTTTTCAAAAGATGTATGCGAATATTAATTTTTGTAATGTTTTACTCAGGCTACCATCTTAAGATGCAACTCAAAAACACATTTCGAAAAGCAAGGAAGCAATGGTGGGTTTCCACTGAATAGGACAAGCACATATACGACTTGTATCCAAAAATAAACTCCATTCCAAATGTCATAAAGCAGACAAATAACACGGCTGATCTCAAGCCACGTCCCTTTCCCCATATATT